CCTTCAACAAATGAAACAAAGAACAACGCAGAAAACTCTCACTGAGTTCCAACCAATCTTTCTACAAGCTCAAAATTTCTACACCTTCTACTTGGATTTTGAAACAGCCTTCATGATGCTATTTAATTAAACATTTCCTGGATAATTTGACATAAAACGGTGAAGGAAAAGGTAAACAAAAGAGGGAAGCACACACACAAAACACTTTTTTTTTTCTGTCACTCTCTTTCCTTAATGCAAAGCATTCATGTTTATGAGGTTTAGTGGTATACTATGCAGTTCCTTTGAGTCTGAGGTAATGTGGTACAAAGATAAGCAGCTTGGTGCCCTGTAGGATTTTTAGACTACAGTCCATAATCTCTGAACACTGGCCATGGCTTGCTGGGACTTATGGGAGTTAGAACCCATAACATCCTGAAGATGCTACTTTCTCCATCTCTGTTGTGGTATATTAAGGGGTAATATGTTTTGTCATACCCTGATGTTACAAATAGGATAAAGAGGGACATACTGCAGCTCTAATAGATTTATTGAAAGGTGAATTTACTCATGAATCGCAAGAATATGAAATTTCATGATTATGTACACACTCTTATGCATTTATTTTCTCTTGTACAGATAATTTTATTGGTGGTGCATATGTAGGAATTACTTAAATCCTGGGAATTTTAAAACATGCACACAGAAGACTGCTACACTTAAGTGAGGGAGACTCAGATTTAGATGCCCTACTGAAATCTAAATAGCTCACCACATGATCTTGAGCCCAGTCAGCAGCTCTATAACCTAATAAAAACATCAAGAGACTGACATGCCCTTCAGCACTGAGTATTCAGGGAGACAAGAGGCATTAAATCAGGAGACATCTTCTCATAGTTCTATCTGGGCGCTCTTTTGGAATCAGGTGGACCATCAGGTGGGACCAGAAGAGCAGGAGTGTTCCCCCATTCAAACTCTCTTACATTGCACGTGGCAAGCCAGTCATATTGTAAAGTACAACAGTCTAAGCTGACCTTAACTAGCTCGGTGTCGACAGGATGGCACATGACTGATGAAACAAGAGGCCCTTTTTTGGCTGGATCAAGCAAAGCCTAAGGAGGTTTTCCTTCACTTGGTTCTCTTCAACACAGGAGCAGGGAAGCACCTAGCCCCTCCTCCTTCGTCACTGCTTTTTCAACATGGTGAGTGATGCATCTGCAGAGGACCGGTTTCTGCCTGTGCGCAGGCTCTCCATGTGAGCAGGAGCTTCCAATTTCCAAGAGTTCTTGCTTGCATGGGGGAGCGTACACATGAGGAGAAACCTCCAAGACACCTCATTCTTCATGTGGAGAAAGTGATAATGGGGGGGTGGAGAGAGAGAGAGCTAGACACTCTTAAAAACCTGTTAGAGAGATGTAATGCCTGAGTAGGGCTCCCAGTGTGACATTCACTGCTTGGAGGGCTGGACCGAGGCTTCGCAGAAACAGATGGCTTATGATTTGTTCTAACGTGAGACATGGAAGTGAATGTCACGGCTGATAAACATGGAACATGGAACTATCCTTTATAATAGCACAGCTGACAGACAATGAATTTGTCTTAATCTCTCAAAAGCCAGTGGCAATCATTCCATCTTGTATCAAAGAGATTTAGATGGCAATTGAGGCTCCAGTGTAGTATACATATCTTTTTTGCGTCTGTTACGACTTCCTTTGTGTCTGTCTTACTGTTTAACAATTTCATTGGATAATCCTGATTTTCTTGTGTAACGAGACGGAGAAAAACACATTTTTATCTAGTATTTCTATAATGTATAAATTTGTCTCAGTCATGTGTCCCTTTACAAGTGACATAAATAACAATCATAAATGACTATAGTTCGTGGTTTATGAATTCTGGATGGATTGGGATGGATTAGGAGGAACAACATTTAGCTGTCATGGTAGAGGTTTACATTCTAATTAGTTTGCCTTCTTGACCTCACCTGGAGTGTGGGTCTGGGGTGTGGGGTAGAGTGGAGCAGGGATCACATGCAGCCTCTTGGTCACATGTGCCCATGGAGCCATCTACCTCATTTTTTATTTAATTGAAACATGGTAAATTGTACTCCGGAATGTGTGGTTTTTCTCTACACCAAGCCTTGCAGCCTCAAACCCTCTTCTCATTTTTTAAAACTAGAAAAAAGCTTTTTAATTCCTGGGAGTGGAGTTCTGGCCATTTCTGGATCTGCCCGTTGGTGCATCCAGGGGTAGAAATTTATCCCCCATATTCTTTCAGGTTGCTCATCTGGCACTAGAAGGAGAAGCCAGGGAGGAACATAAGGGCTACATGCATTAGCGTGTAGTTTATCCATAGTAAGAGAGAAATTGCCAGCGTCCTTAACATGACTCCAAATACGCAGTGTTCTCAATGTAAGCTGTTCAATGGGTTTGTGTGTGCATGTCACAAAATGGTCTGTTTTATTACAAATATACTTGGAGAGGTCTGAAAGCACCAAACTAAGGCATATGTGATCCCTGAACTTGAGGTTTTCTAGATGGCTTGTTCCTGAATCCAATATCCAAGGATGCCCACCTTCTAGTGAATGCAGAGTGGGTTTGTTTGCTTGTTTGTTTTGTAATTTCAAGGCAGTGTGTTACATTATACCTGAGCTGTGATCTTATAGAAGTCAGGGTGATATTGTGAAATCAGGATCTGTTTCTTCCATCCTGTGTTAGATCCTGGAAAAGTTAATTCTTCTCTGAAAGCTCCTAGATTCCTGGAAAAGTTTACCAACTCTGCGTTATGGTTAGGATTGTGCTGGGCTGCTCTTGTCTGCTTTCCCTCCAGGAGGGCCTTTTTTTCCCTTTTCCTATTTAGAGCAGCAACTGCACACGTCATCATGAGAGGTGAAATCAGATTACTGGGTGTATTGACTCTGGACTTGGCAGGTAGCGTGACTCAGCTGCTGGTCTGCATTGCCAGGCTGGCGGTACTAGCAGGATACCCTTTCTTGGTTGCACTGCCACTGACGTAGCAGGGGTTGCAGGTGTGGTCTGGGGCCCAACCGGTTTTGTGAGGATGCTTGCCTTCCTCACATGTGACTCACCTGCTTGGTCAATACAGCTGAGGAGTTCCTCCCATGATACCATGCTGAAGTATCTTCCTCCATCTCTCTTGCTCAAGTGTGTGCGTGTGCGTGTGACCTGGTTGGCACCCCTCCTAGAAAGAAGAAGCTGGAAGTCCCACTGAGAGCAGAATGGAGCAGTCCAGCCTCAGCTGAAAGGCTTCTGCTTAATGGTGGGTGGGGTTTCCTCCCCTTCAAGCAGGTCTGAGTATACTCCATGCAATTCTGCCTCCAAGCAGGGTGGATTGGATTTAAATTGTTAAAAAAAAAAAAGATCAGTTTAAATCATGAATTAAATCAGTAGTCAGTAAACCTATTTTTTAAAAAAATCTAATTTAAATAAAAAATATCAGATTTTAAAATTGAAATTGATTTTTAAAATTGAAATCAGATTTTTAAATATTGTTCTAAATTTAAATCATTGTGATTTACATTGATTTGATTTAGATCACATCCATCCTGCCTCCAAGTAAACTCACAGGGTTGGCAGTAATCCTGAGTATAAAAGCTATGTTGCAGTTTGGCTGTTTCCACACAGTGTGTTATATGAGTCTTTTCCACGTTAGGATTTCTAAGAGTGTTGCCTTCCCTGAGTGTCAGGGTTTACCGTACTTTGCCAGAGAATGTGGGCCTGTTGCTTTGGGCACCATGTGCTCTGAATGTGACTGCATTCCCTTTGAAGGATCAGGTACACAGTCTGAAAGTCCTCTTGGAGGAAGCACTGCTCATGTGGTAACAGCAGCCGGAAGTGCCTTTCCCCCCTGTTTCAGCTGATAACACTCTCCCGGTGTGCCTTCCTGAGGAAGATGGGGCCGGCCACAGTGGTCCATGCTTGAATCACTTGAGGGCTAGAGTACTGCACCCTGGTCTATGGAGGGCTGCCTTTGAAGCGTGTTCAAAAACTGCAGCGAAGTACACAACAGGGTGGTCATCAGACTGTTCCTTGATCAAGTAACACTAGTCTTGAAAAAAAGCTTTATCAGCTTCCTGTTTGTTCTGAAGTCAAATTCGTGGTGCTGAATTTTACCTATGAAGCCCTGGAATGGCTGTTATCTAGCATGCGTAGGAAATGTCCTCCTGCTATAAGAACCCACATGGAACTTGTGACCATTGCCGGTAACTGTAGAGAGGTGATGTTTGTGGGGACTTTGTGTAGCACTTTCTGTGAAGTGGTCCTGGGGCTCCCATCTCAATAGGGAACAAGTTAGGCCTCATTATTAATCTAAAGACTAGTGGTAAAAACTATGGGGTTCTGCCAGGCTTCTAGCGACTAAGCCCCATTCTCTGTGTGGACAGACCATTCTAAAACATAAATGTTGAGCAGAATGAAGGTTAGTGAGTGGGATTCCTGCCGTGTCACTCCCTCAGTTCTGTTCACTGTGTACGTATCACGTTGAGGCTTTGTGTTTATGGTTAAACAAGAACCTCTCTTTAGATGTTCCTTGTCCGCAGGCAGGGGCATCAGGTTAGCTTTTGTGGCCCCGTCTCAGCCCAGTTATACTTCTATCCTTCCTTTGCTTTGCGGAGCTCAAGGATGTTTACATGGCTATCCTCCTCCCTATTTTATGCTCCTAGTAGATTATAAGGCAAGTTGGACTGAAATAGATTAGAAGATGACTCCCAAGTCACTCAGGCTTCATGGCTCTGTGACAACTTGAACTGGGATTTCACAGATTCCAGTTTTAACACTTATTCTGGTGCTCCTTTAGCACATTGGGACTTGACTCATAGCCATTGCTTAGAATCAGACTTGCACGTGCCCTCCTTTGTAATAAATGTGTCCCTGTGTGATGGGTTTTATTTATTTATTTTTGATTTAGGTCTTTTATAGCAGGTAAAATGGCAGGTGTTTCGTACACTCCCCGGCTATTCTTATCTTCTTTTTCTTTTCCTTTTCCTTTCCCCAAACCCACAGGCTTCCATTTGAGTGGGATTGTGACAGAGCCAGCAGGCCCCAGTGAGCCTGAGCACAGCTACCATGTCTCCATCAGCTTTGACCGCTGCAAGATCACGTCGGTGAGCTGTGCCTGTGACAACCGGGACATCTTCTACTGTGCCCACGTGGTGGCATTGTCTCTGCACCGCATCCGCCATGCCCGCCAAGTGGAGCTCCGCCTGCCCATCTCTGAAACCCTTTCCCAAATGAATCGGGACCAGCTACAGAAATTTGTGCAGTACTTGATCAGTGCTCATCACACAGAGGTGCTGCCAACAGCTCAGAGGCTTGCTGATGAGATCCTGCTCCTTGGTTCTGAGATAAACCGAGTACATGGTATGAGTCTCTGCATGACCCTGTTTTGGGAGCACAGCTTGGAAAAGTTACTCTTTTGGACTAGAGAGAAACCAGAAATAGTAATATAGCACCTATAAGACAAACTATTTTTTAAAATTTTTCATAAGCTTTTGTTTGTCCAGGCACATTTCTTTAAATGAACGGAATGGCCATGTCTCTGGGCAGAGCACAAAAGCATTTTATATTTTGGACTATAATCCTCCCAAATCAACAACATCCTTGCTGGACGATTTGGGGAGTTGTAATCCAAGACATAAACTTTTCTAGGCCTTGCTCGGAAAGGATGGCTCCAGGTCCAGGGTTCTTAGCTGCCAGCCTGCATCGCTTATCCCTTTCTCTAGTTTTCAACAGAGGAGTCGAGGCAGCTGTGGGATAAGACTTGCCTGTTAGAAGGATTTCCTTGTGGATCTCTGAGCTAAGGCTAGGAGTCAGGTTCATCTGGTGACCACTCGACACACAACGCTAAATGGCAAAAGAGAATGTAACAGGTAGCATCAGATGCCAAGGCGTTTTGCTGCCTGAAATGGAAGACAACATGACCCCCATTGTATCTGCAGAAGCCAGCTAGACTGGCTGTTGGATCTGACTTCTGAACTCTGATGGGACATCCTCTTTCATCTCAAGGCAGCTTCAGTTCTGCATCACTCATTGCCTGTAACATACCACTCTGTCCTCCACCTCGCTCTGCCCCAGAGGCAGGCCAGTCTTGAGCAATACTAAATTGACAGAAATGGTACAAGAGTCATTCTGCCAGTCCAGCATGCATAGTAAAACAAATCCCATGATCATCAGATAATCTGAATCCCTGTAGTGATTGCAAAGATGTAAGCATTGCTCTTCCAATGGGTTTATAGTATTATTGCTGTTCTCTCTCTCATTTGAAGGTTGGCTCACTGGCTGCTTGTTGCAATTCTGAAACTGCCAGGACTGGTTTCAAGGTCAACTCAGGTGCAGATGTTACACGTGTGTTGACAGGTTGAATTTGCAGCCGTATTCCTGAGCTTCATGAGATCTGTACTCACAAACCATTATTTAAGAAGATCATGAATTTCTTAAATAATTACTATTGATTTATTTCAATAGTGAGGTTGGAAAAATAGCCACTCTACTCTCCCTCCTCTTTCCTGTCGCCCCCCCCCTTAAACTGAGAGTGGAGACACTTTGGTCCTACAGTAGTTTTGGATTTCAGCTTTCCACAAGACACAGTCAGAATAGCCAGAATTGGTGAGGGATGGAGAGAGTTGTTCTCCACACATCCCTCACTTCTGTATTATCAAAACAAAACATTGAGCCAAGAGACTGCTTTTTGGACTGGAGAAGATGATCTAGTAATGTCTGCTGAAATGCAGTGCACTCTGGGTATCTCAGCATAGTTGCATGTTGCACTGATGCTTTGCTCCATCCATCCATCCATCCATCCATCCATCCATCCATCCATCCATCCATCCATCCATCCATCCATCCATCCCAATTTATATACCACCCCATTAGTGCAAGCACTGCCCTGGACAGTTTTACATAAAGTTAAAATTCACAAACCATTAATACACCACAATCACCACCACCACAACAAAAGATTCAAAGAACAGTACAGTGATATAACAGACAACAATTAAACCAAAAATATGAGTAACCCCGTAAAAATCTACAACTGATAAAAAATATTTGCACCTAGGTGCCCCTGACCCCACAGCTGGTGCTGGAATTGAGGATGCAAACTGCTGGCATTTGGACGAAGAGCAGATCCAAGAACAAGTGAAGCAGTTGCTCTCCAATGGAGGTTACTATGGGGCAAGCAAGCAACTGCAGTCCATGTTCAACAAGGTAAAGGCTACTGTGGATCTGTCCGAGGTGGGGACCCCTCTGTCCTCTGAGGGTTTCTAGTCCCTCTGCCCCCTCCCCCAACCAGGAGAAGAAGCCCCATTATTTTGCAGGATCGAACTCAGCTCATAAGCAGAGATTTCACTGCAGTACTGCAGTTTAACCACTATACCATGAGACTCCTCAAGAAAGGGGATTGCTTTCTGAAGCCATTGACCTTCTCCTTTTCATGTGTGACTTCTCTCCTTCCTCAGGTGCGCGAAATGCTGCGAATGCGGGACTCCAATGGGGCACGAATGCTCATCCTGATGACAGAGCAATTCCTGCAGGATCCGCGCCTGGCACTCTGGCGGCAGCAAGGAGCTGGCATGACTGACAAGTGTCGGCAGCTTTGGGACGAATTGGGTGAGTGTTTCTTCTTATATTGGAGAGAAGTCAGCCCAAGGTTGTATGTTTCACATCAGAAGAATTCTGGAAAGTAGTAGAGAATAAAACTGGAAACAAACTTCAGAAATGTACACCCAGGTCAGCCAGGGTGGCTCTTGATGGTGAGAGTTGTAGGTCCCACAGATTTGGCAGGCGCTGGACTAAAGAAGGCTGCTGTAGATAAGCAGGGTGTGGACACCCCAGCTCTCTTACCACTTGAGAGTTGAAGGGTGTCATTTCAGTTGTTAAATCAGAGTGGAGGGCAGTCCTGTTTGATCAGGTTTAGAAGCAACAAGGCTATTGGTTGCTATACCATAAACCCCACACCTACTTTCTTATGACATGGTATGGGTGGAAGAAAGGGAAATGAGAAACCATTTCCAAAGGATACTGTGTCTATGACTTATTTTCCTAAGCTGCAAAGTGGAACTTGGTTGCATGCAATACCTTTCCAGTCTTTAAACAACCGTTTATTTCCAGTCACTGAAGATGACAGTCAAGGATCTTTTGAGCCAGATGGGGAACCTGTGCAGGCCAGAAGTTCCCCAGTTGTCATTGACACCACTGCTCCTTCAGGAAAACTCTGCCACCACAGCTTGCCAGCTTTCCACTTCCTTGCCCTGACTATGAGCCCTCTCAGTCCTGCTGCAACTTGCTTGTTAGATAACATGATAGGCTGCTGTTATTTATTTTATGTATATCCTGTATGTCTCCCACACTGGCATTTAAAGCGTGGGGCTCCCATCCATGCTGGGGCCAGTCCCAGGCCTGCTTAACCTCAGCACAAATGCTGCTTCCTTGGCTATCAGACCCGTAGACCTGACTACCCCAAGACATGGGCCAGGTGCTCTTTGTCCGATCCCTCTTGTACACCAGCTCTTGCTGGGCAATTTCCTGGGCTATTGGCCATCTTCTCTTGGTTTTCCAGGTGCTCTGTGGGTCTGTGTGGTCTTGAGTCCCCACTGCAAGCTGGAAGAGCGGGCGCTCTGGCTGCAGCTTCTCAAGAAGTGGAATAAGCTGGACGTCTGTCCCTTGGAGGAGGGGAATTACTCCTGCGACAGCATCGGACCGAATGGCACCTTGCCACCCCACCCAAACCGCAATGCAGGTAGGGGAACACATGCCGAGCATTTCCTGCCATCTAAGGAAGAAAGAAAGAAAGAACACTCAAACCCTATTCCTGAATGTGGTTCTCTCTTCCACATTTCCAACTCCTTGACCACGTCTCTAAGCAGTTGTAACATGTGTTCACTGCAAGGTTGTTTACCTGAGCCCCATGTTTCTGGGCATCTCCCTTTTTTAACAGTGCAGGCATGGTGGCTGAGGCTAAAGTGTCTCAATGCAAGCTTCGCCTCTGGGCCAGACACTTTAGGTGGCCTTAGGCAAACTTCAAGAAAACCACTTGCAATGTGAAGATGGTGGCCCAGCCGTACTCCTATTGGCCTCCTTCATGAGGTTGTTGGGTTAACTGAAATAATATGCATGAAATGCTATCTAAATATTATGTGCACTGTTGACCAGGGAAACATGGCTGCATACAGTCCTTTTTATTCTTGCAGCCCTCAAATCCTCCCCTCCTGTTGTTTGCTTGAATTTGCTGTTTCAAAAGCCCCAGGAGCAATGATTTCCTTTGAAAAGAAGGCCCCCTTGCACCTTATCTTATATTCCCCCCCCAAAAAAATAAGGTTTTCACAACACCAGAAGATTCATTTGGCAGAGTTTCTGAAGAGATCCACAACAGATCCCGGGGGTGGAAAACTGGTCCCTGGTTGCCCAGAGCCTTCCCACTCCATCCGCTAGATGGGAAATCTTATTCCCCGAGGGTGAAGATGATCTTGATGACTTTCTGAACTGAATTATCTCAAGAGTTCTCATAAGCCATGCTGTGACCTCTTTCCTCCTCGACAGCTGGCGTCCGACAGACGGTCTTCGGGCGGGCCATCAAGGCTGCCGAGCTTCGGTGGGGGGATTGCCACCTGCAGAAGATCCTGAGCAGTGACTGCTATGGTGTCTCTTTGAAGAGTGGAAGCGACAAGCTGGGCTTCGACCCCCAGGGCCACCCGCTCTGGCTGGGGGATGCCTTTCCCATGGCCTGCGCTCGGGTGGATGCCTTGCGCTCCCACGGCTATCCCCGCGAGGCCCTGCGCCTGGCGGTGGCTGTGGTCAACGCCATGCGCTTGCAGCAACGTCATCAGCTGGAGAGCTACAAGCAGCAAAAGAAAGGCAAGGCCTGTGGCTAGCTTGGATGGCGAGGGGTGTGAGCAGCTGTCAGGGACCTGGCTTTAATTCAACTCATTTGAGAAGCAAGGGAGTTCAGGGAGGCAACGTTTAGTAGCAGAGCACAGAGCCCTATGCGCACAAGGATCCTGACATCTCCAGTTAACAACGTCATCAGCTGGAGAGCTACAAGCAGCAAAAGAAAGGCAAGGCCTGTGGCTAGCTTGGATGGCGAGGGGTGTGAGCAGCTGTCAGGGACCTGGCTTTAATTCAACTCATTTGAGAAGCAAGGGAGTTCAGGGAGGCAACGTTTAGTAGCAGAGCACAGAGCCCTATGCGCACAAGGCTTCTGACATCTCCAGTTAAAGGTTTCAGATCACTGGAGCCTGGAAAGAGGTGTGCAGAGAGGGGCCAGTGCTGCGCTTAATCATGTTTAGTTACCCTGCTGTTTTCCAAATGTCTCCAAATTCAGCCTCCCAAGGAGGACAGAGGCTGTTGCTGGAGCCATGCTGGTGGCAAGCTGGCATGCATGACAGTGCCTCCTTGTTTAGTTGAAGCAGGAGATACCATATAATCCAGGGACTGCTGTTCTCGCAGTTCTTGGTTGGCTGGGACTTTGGGGAATTGAAGTTTCTCGACGACTCTCAGCTCCCCATCCATACCCAGGTGGGCCTGAGCGATGGGCTCTTTTGGGTCGTCTGCCTTGGGCCCATCGTGGCTTCTCTGGCTTTTTCAGGGCTGCCCAGGCTTGGTAGAACAGGTCTTCGCTACCCAGGCTCCGACTGAAGGCGGGCCGTCCCAGCAGCTTGGGGCTTGCTTTCTGATTAATGTCTGCCTCTTGTCTCTCTTCTTCCCACCCCTCAGAGCTGCTGCACAAAGGCACCACCAGCATCACCAACCTGGAAGGGTGGGTGGGGCACCCTCTGGACCCCATCGGCTGCCTCTGCCGCACCTTTTTGGAGGCCTGCCGGATGGATGACGAGGGGCTTTCCCTGTATCCAGGTATGGGGAGGACCATGAAGGCGGTTTGTGGGAGAATTAGGAAAAAGTGGTCCGTCGCTTGCTAGCACTGAGCTCCTCTCTGCCTGTGGACAGCTTGTCTGTCTGGCCCAAATGAGCAGAGAGAAAATGCTACTGCCATTTGTTGAGAAAGGAATGCTTCCCCCTTGACTAGAAGGAGTTCAGAACATGCTGGCGTGAGGAGGCCAGACCTCAGTTCCTGAGAAAGGAGCTTTCCCCCTGTTGCAGTGTACCTGGGCAACACCTTTGCACTTGCCCATCAGGGCCGTGAGGCAGCTATTGCAGGGTGGTGGGTGGGATCCTCACTTTTGTCAGCCTCAAACCTTTCAGGACTCCTTCAAAACAAAAGGCATCTTGCCTGGGAAGTGCGCACAATTGCAGGGGGTTTGGAAAGATAAGGTCCACATAAAATGATATGCATGTTTTTTTTAAAAATGTGAATGGCTAAGAATATGTATGATTTTAAAATATACACACTTTAGTCAGTGGAGAAAAAAAAGCAAATGTTAGGCAAAATTCATAAATGACTATGAGCATTAAGTGAAATACGTTTCTTGGAGCACACACATTTCCATGAATGAGGCAAACGATGACATTCCAACAAATACTGCAAGAAAATGGAAGCGTGATTCGGAGTAACAGAAAGAAATGAGGACTGGAAGATTTGCGTATCCCCAGCAGTGGCACCAGCTATTCCAGGGGTGGAGGAGGTTTACTGGGTTTTTCCAAGTGCCAGTTTGCTTGCAGAGGCAGTCGGCTCTTCTGATCCTTGCTCATTTGTTTTGTCCTTTACACCTCTCCCTCCTTCCCTCCAGACTCGACAGCAGAGCCCAAGAAGGCCCTCTACCAACACGTTCCAGTGCCCTCAAGTCCAGGCGAATCGTACTTCATGCTAGCCCTGGAGGTAGCGCTGCTGGGGTTGGGGCAGCAGAGGTCGATGCCGGAGGGTCTCTACGCTCAGGACAAGGTGGTGCGCAGTGAGGAGCAGTTGATTGGGCTTCTGGAGGAGATGGAGATGGATGAGCGCTTGGTACCTGTGCTCCGCAAGCAAGCAGCCTTGCTCTTGGAGGGTAAGAAGAATGGTGGTGGTTCTGATCTGCTGAATATAACAAAAGCACCATCCCCACCACTCCTGCGCCTTCAATGAAGAGAGCGAAGGAGCCAGAGGAGGTCACCCAGGCTGGTTAATCTGCTCGTCTTCAGGGGAGGCGTCAATGGCTGCTCAGTGTATTACAAGGGTGGAGAACACCTATGGGTCAGGAGAGGGCAAAGGTGATTGTTTCCCACTCCCACAGGAATCCTCAAATACATTTATTTAGTCTAGTATATTCAGGTTATAATGTATTAATATTTATTTGAACACAGTCAGGAAGCACATACAGCTAGTTAGCAAGACCTGTATAATCACCATCATCTTAGAACTGTAATGCTGGAAGGGACCCTGTGGATCACTGGGCATTGTCAACGAGGCACAGTGGGGAATCGAACTCCCAAACTTTGACTCCTCAGCCAGGTGCCTAAACCACTGAGCTATCCAGCAATTTAGAATGACTCTTCTTGCTGTGAATGCCAGACTCAGATTCCCTACTACTCAATACATTTGTTTTTCCACCTGGGTCTGAAACCTTCCTTTTCATTTAAAAAAAAAGTTTCTCCCTATGCATAAACCGTGGCTGGAGTTCAGGATGCCTTTTGTATTCTTTTAGATTTCAAGTTTCTGAGGTGTTTGTAGGCCTCTAAATGTCATTGAATGTGATATTAAGGGTGAAAGCATGTGTGTACACTGAAGGAAAATGTTTTGCACACTACATGTGAATTATATTTGCCTACTTCTTAGCCCCACCCAAAATGTCCTGAAGACCTCCCCCGAGAGGTCTTCCCCCATGTCCTATCATCCTTGGTCATTGTACCTGCTAGCTGGATCTCAGTGGGGGGGGGGTCCAGTCCATCATCATCTGAAGGGCTCTTATTTCATGAAGGTCTAAAGGAAAGGAGAGCCCTTTGCTTTGGGATAAAATACGCTCCTCCTGCAATGGAGACCCCAAAAGCCAGTTTCTGAGGGCCCTCAATGAGGCAGAAATGACAACTGGACTAGTAAATGGCAGTGCCATTCTAGCCCTTTGGCTTCCCAACATGATATCAGTGCAGTTGCTGTCATGGTGGCTTTCTGCTTTGGTGCTGAAGTATTGAGCTGGGATTGATCAAAAACCCTCATTCCAAAATGTAAAAAGATCTAAGAAGCCAGGAGGAGGCGAATGAGTACACTTTGGGATGCTTTGACTATTGTGGGGGAGGGAATCTAGGTCTCACATGAAGGGATTTTATTTTATTTTATATTTTGGTGGTAGCACAGATTAATTTTCTCCAAACTCAGATGATTTAGAGAAGGGCCAGTCACACCAACCGCCAAGCAGAAGCTCCTGGTCATCGTGGTTTGTTCTTCACTCTTCTCCTCTTGTACGCCGAGCCATTGTCTAGTCACGTGTGTTGAGTTGCCTTTGTGTGATTCTTCCTCTTTTAACCCACTGCCTGCCTGTTTCTCCCAGGGGGGCCCTTCAGTGGCTTTGGGGAGGTCGTGTTCCGCGAGAGTGTTCCCATGCACACTTTTGCCCGCTACCTCTTCACGGCCATGTTGCCCTATGACTCTGAGCTGGCCTACCGCTTGGCACTGCGAGCCATGAGGTAAGTAAAAACCCCTCCTCTATTCCACCAGTCTTCTTGTGCCCCTTCCTGTTCTACCTCTTCTTCCAGTACAGCTCCCCTTGCTTTAGTATTTGCCCATTTTGATACTTTCCCCGAGCACTTCCTGCGCTGCCCTGTGGCCAAGCACTTGGGAGCTGCGCGTTTGTAGAAAGCACTGTCTTTATCACGGATCATTGCTTTCTGTGTAATGAGGATGAGAGCGTTGCTTTTTAAAACTAAGGTGACAATAATGCGGCGTTCTCTCCCATTTAACAAAACCAGTAATGTTTAATTGATGTTCCTCATTGCTCCTTGTTAGTGAATAGTATTTGGCAATTTGTTATCCATTGCCCTCTTCGTGTAAAGTGGCCAAGGTAAAGGTAAAGGTAAAGGTTCCCCTTGACAATTTTTGTCCAGTCGTGTTTGACTCTAGGGGGCGGTGCTCATCCCCGTTTCCAAGCCACAGAGCCAGCGTTTTGTCCGAAGACAATCTTCCGTGGTCACATCGCCAGTGCAACTTAGACACGGAACGCTGTTACCTTCCCACCGAGGTGGTCCCTATTTATCTACTCGCATTTGCATGCTTTCGAACCGCTAGGTTGGCGGGAGTTGGGATAAGCAACGGGAGCTCACTCCGTCGTGTGGCTTCGATCTTACGACTGCTTGGTCTTCTGACCCTGCAGCACAGGCTTCTGCGGTTTAGCCCACAGCGCCACCATGTTCCTTCGCAGCAGCACCACGGCCTTGTAGCACAGAGGCTTCTGCGATTTAATTCGCAGCGCCACCATGTCCCTTCGCAGCGCCACCACAGCCAAGGGTGGTTCCTATTCCGTTCTCTTTTTAACTGAAAAATAAGACCCACTCTCTTGCTCCATTGATCACTTTCCTCATCTTTGAGCAGAACGTCTCATAGGCAGCGGCCTACAGTTCCTCTGTGCCCAGAGGTTCCCATGAACAGAGCAATGGAACATGTTAGGCCCTGTTTGGGAAGTGTGGGCAGCTGCTTCGTGGACTGTGGTAGAGGAAATGTTCACTGGTGCTGCAGAGCGGGTCCCCTGTTGCTCTGAGCAACTCAGGGCCTTTATCATCTTAGCTCAACTGAGAACTGTAGAGGTGGAAAGGACCCTATGGATCATTGAGTTAAGCCCGTCAAGGAGGCAGCGTGGGGGAATCGCCCTCGGTCTCCGGAAGTGTGGGCAGCTGCTTCGTGGACTGTGGTAGAGGAAATGTTCACTGGTGCTGCAGAGCGGGTCCCCTGTTGCTCTGAGCAACTCAGGGCCTTTATCATCTTAGCTCAACTGAGAACTGTAGAGGTGGAAAGGACCCTATGGATCATTGAGTTAAGCCCGTCAAGGAGGCAGCGTGGGGGAATCGCCCTCTGGCTCCGCAACCAGAGATCTAAAACTACTGCGCTATCCGGCAGTTCTAGTGTTCCAGTTCAAGGCAGGATAACTTCCCTTTACTCCTGGTGGCCTTACAAAAAGGAATTAAGTGGTAACAAATGATGTAACTAGCAAAGCAATGGGCATTTTAACAAGTTATTTTCATGTCTGGGATGCGTGGGGGAGAGATACGTAATAGTCATGATTTGCAGTTTCAAAAATTCAGCTTTGCATAAATGTAACCACTTTCTTTTGCAAAGTAACATTCCAGTTCTTGCCCCAGATTATCGCCTGTTTTCTCCTCCCCCCCCCGACTTTGATAAATGCTCAGGCTGAAGGGAGTTGATCCCCCGTTGGCAAGGAGAATATTATATCTAGCCAATTCTCAATTCTGATTTTACCTCACTGCCCGAGCTCTGTTTTCTCCAAAGATCTGCTTGAAGTCAGCCTCCTCCTACTGGAGTCCTCTCATGCTGGCAGGTGAGCCTTATATTTTTCTGAAACAGGTTGTAGAAATTACTTTTTTAAGACTGCAGCTCCCAGAAGGCCTAGCCAGCCTGGCCGCTAGAAGCTATAGTTCCAAAAAAAGCAACTTTCCCCAGCCTGGACAACGGCCATCTCACCCGGTTCTCCCGTTCATCTCTACAGGCTTCCTGTTTTGGAGACGGTGCTGCCCGCCAGTGACATCCTGCACCAGAACCCCTTAGACTCTATGATGGCCAATCGCTTCCCCCGCTGGTTTACCCTCGGCCACCTGGAAACACGGCAGTGCGAGCTCGCGTCAGCCATGCTTACTGCTGCTAAAGGTAGTCCCAGCCACGGAGGTCAGAGATTTGGGACCCACAGCGTGTCCCCTGCTCAGGGCAGCAAGGCGATCATGACATCCTCTGCTCTGAAATGAGGTCTAATACTGTGTGCCTCTTCCACTGCACTTTAGGTGACCCCAGTTGGCTTCGTATGGTCTTGGGTTCCATCCAGCAACACATTCATTCTCCGGCCTTGCTGTTCAAATTGGCCCAAGATGCCTGCAAGACTGCCACGCCAGCCAACACACCTCCGGACACTACCTTGCTTAACATTTCTCTGGAGCTTGGCCTGCAGGTGAGGAGCCTGTGAGCAGATGGAGGCCCTCACCCAATCTGGAAGGAAATCAGAAATAGCTTTGTGCTGATTGCTTCTGGTTTTAGAATAGGGGTGGAGGTGGTGGTCACCATATTTGGCTTGGGGACAGAATGCCCGTCCTGCATTCTGGTGCAGGAGGGAGAACATCAGAGATGCAGCTACATCCTGACACCAGGAGCAAAGCCCTGGCTCTGGCATTATCATCTTCTGGCTGGATCACTTGGAGACAGCTGCCCTGATTGGGGGAGGAGATGGTGCATAGTGATCTTCAGCTGAGCCCCATGAGGTTTGAGGAGAACGCATTGCTCAGACAGGAGCTGGCTTCAGCCATGCCAGCCCTTCCTAATTGGGGAAGTCAGGTTATCAGCAACATCCCAACTGAACTGCATGGCCTAAGGAGCCCCCCCCCCCATTGAGCTGTGGAGCTCAGTCACAAGCTGGCTTTGCTTTTCCTGTTGCCCTTTCTTAGGAAAAAGAAAAGAAAAGAAGATACAGAGTAGAGTTGGAAAGCCCCTGTTCTCTCCAATCACTGACTGGAAATAACCATGAAATGCCCTTTTCTCTTGTGCCGCTTTCCAGTGACAAAACAAGGGGACCCAGCCACAGGAGGTGGATTTACCCACCATCCCAAATAAAGAAACCTGCAGCGTGTGTAGTCGTCTCCCCACATCCGGAGGGGTGGGTGAGGGTGAGAAGAAGGGTTTCCTTCACACCTTCTGTGGGCCAGATGAAGCTTGGGAGGCAGAGGTGTTCCATGCCTGTGTTTCAGAAGATCCTGAACAAGAAAGTTAATCTGTTCTCTTCTGTCCATTTCCAGCTGAGGTTCTGATACAGCTGGTGTAAGAAAATGATCCCACATAAAGTGGACAATTATTTAGGAGAAGCCAGACTGCCACCCTGCCTATTCTGTATGCTGTATAACTGCATTCTGGATCCTACCATGTGCTGTGCTTCCTTTGTTACCCCAGCTGGCATGAGAATACCTCTTTGCTGTTGCTTTTCCCACAGGTGATGAGAATGACACTCAACACCATGACCTGGCGTCGCAGGGAAATGGTGCGTTGGCTGGTCAGCTGTGCCACTGAGATAGGTGAGTAGGAATGGTTGGAAGGATTAAAAAGAGCATGGAAAGGTTCCTTTTGAAGTTCAGGTCCCTGGATCTCCCAGCAGGCTTGATCCTTGCACTGGCTGGCCAAGGGGATTCGGGGAGTTCAGCCCCAAAGACTAATTTTTCCAAATCCTGGCAGGGAATCTGCTTGTGCCACTACATCCAGGAAAAACTGGATGGGCAGCATGTGCAATTGGATGGAATCTTGCGTCAGAGGAGGTCCCCACCTGGGTCAGACCAAAAGCCTGTCTAGTCCAGCCTTCTGCTTCCACAGTGAAAACCCACATGCCTCCGGGTAGCACACAGGCAGGCTATGAGGGCCATAAGACCTGCCTGTGTTCCCCAGATGCATAAGAGCAATCATATCGGCTTGTGTTCTCTAGCTGTCGTGACTTTTAGCCATTTGAAGCTTATTTCGCTTGAATTTTTCCATTGTTAAAACTGCACATGTTGGTGACCGTCAGTACATCTTGTGGCAACACGTTTCTCAGTTTAAGTGTGTGCTGTACAAAGCGGTGCTTCCTTTCCTTCTGTCTATTCTGGTCTACTGGGTTCTAGTATTGTGAGAAGATGAAGAGGGGGGTAAAATCTTCCTGCTGATTTTCTTAATCGTTCCTCTCTCTCTTCTGATGTTTCTCTTGGAATGTGGCTTGTTTCGTGGCCTTTGTGATTGCCCTCTGCTCTCTTTCCCACTTTATTCTCCATCCAGGAGTCCAGGCCTTGATGAACATCATGCAGAACTGGTACACCCTCTTCACACCCATCGAGGCAACAACCATTGTGGCTGTCACAGGCACCACGCACGCCACGCTGCTCAGGCTGAACCTGAGCGCAGGGCAACGGGACGAGCTGTGCAGCTGTGCCCGGACACTGGCACTGCAGTGCGCCATGAAGGATCCCCAGAACTGTGCGCTGCCAGCCCTGACGCTCTGCGAGAAGAACCACGCGGCCTTTGAGGCGGCATACCAGATTGTGCTGGACTCTGCAGCCTCAGCCGGCATGGGCCACTCTCACCTCTTCACCGTGGCCCGGTACATGGAGCATCGCGGGCTGCCTCTGCGTGCTTACAAGCTGGCCACCCTGGCCTTCTCCCACCTCAGCATTGCCTTCAACCAGGACACCCACCCTGCCCTCAACGATGTCCTCTGGGCCTGCTCCCTGAGCCAGTCCCTGGGGAAGAATGAGCTGGCCGCCATCGTCCCTCTGGTCATCAAGAGCGTGCAGTGTGCGCCGATGCTTTCTGACATCTTGCACCGCTGGAGCCTTCCTCCCCCAGCCCTTGCCTCGCTGGGTGGGAGCCGCCGTGGAGCCGGGGGGGCCAGTGCCGGAGGGAAGCTCTTTGCCATGGACAAGGCCCCGCTCTGCCAGCTCCTGGAGGCAGCCATGGCAGCCTACATCAGCACCACGCACTCCCGGCTCACTCACATCAGTCCCCGGCACTACGGCGAGTTCATCGAGTTCTTGGGCAAAGCCCGCGAGACCTTCCTTATGGCGCACGAAGGGCACAGGCGCTTCGGCCAGTTCCTCGACAACCTCAAACAGACCTACAAGGGCAAGAAGAAACTGATGCTGCTGGTGCGGGAGCGCTTTGGTTAGGCAGCACTTTGGGGAGGGAGTGCTTTGGCTAAGGGGAGGGGGAAGGGGCCAGGCAGCCAGAGGGACATCTCTCCCCCCCACACACACGATCAAGAAGCACTTTTGGCTGGGAAAGCGAGGCCGCAAGATCTGTTTCCCTCGGGGGAGGCGTGAGTGACCAGGCGGATTTGGATTTCTGCCTAGATTCCAAATTTCTCTGCTTGCAGCTCCGAGAGCACCAAGACTTTGGTCGGGCGGTGATGCTCTGGGACTGTGAAACTCTTCGGCTTTCGGGCTGGAGACCCTGGCCTGCAACACCTGGATTGGCCACAGACTCTGTTCAAGTTTGAAGCTCCAGCCCTGTTGCCCGGGCAGGGAAGGAACGTGGGCTCCGGTTTTGTCGGTTGTAGGAGTTGCCAATTTCAGTATTAACCTGCAGGAGGATAACAGGAACCCCTTCCCATTGTTTGAAGGTTCCGGGACCTAATAGGGTCTTACAGAGGGTGGGGGACCCAGTCTCATGGAATTTCACAGCTGCTGCTCCAATCCTGTATTTCAAACCCAGTGGTGGTGGGGTTGGGTTGGCCTCGTTTATGTAAGTCAGGGTGGGATGCATGGGTTTTAGGCTTCCTGTTCCCTGCTTAGTTACCCACAAGCTGTCTCTACCTCCCAGTTTTCCATGGCCCCCAAGTCCCTTTGTGTCTGCAGTACCAAACCTGTGTTGAAGTCTGTGCGTTCAACACGAGCTGTCACCCCCCCTGCCCCCCCACCCTCCGGACAAGGGTATGTTACCCACCAAGTCTGGATACTTCCTTGCACTGACAGCGTTCACATTTGGGAAGCATCTGGTGCAGAGCTCCTAAGACCAGAGGCGGGGGGGTCCTTACTGCCTGGGCTACCTTGGCACCAAATGTCCTCGAACAGGAGTGGTGTAATGGAGCAACATCCTGCTGTTAATGCCAGTTTGCTGGTAATAAATGAGATACTGTTTCGGGTGGGTGGGTTATGAATTCTGTGAAGGGGACTGATGAATCAGATGCACTGAGCCAGCAGCTTGCTGTGTCGTTTGTGGAATGGTACCTCTGGAAGAGATCTGACGGGCCCTATGCCCAGTCCTCATCCCCATTGTACTCTTCACACTCACACATACACACACACAAAACTGTTGCTCCAAGCAAATGGGCTTCTGCGTTCAGTTACACGGGCTTCTTTACAGCTGGGGACCCTCCTCTTCTTCTCCCTCGTTCTCTCAGGCATGTTTCCCTGCCTCGTCATGAAAACCTTTCATATCTGTCAGTATTTCAGCTTTCCCTTAGCTGTGCTAATGGGCCACAGGTATGTGGGGGGGGGGCGCACAGCTCTATCCTCTCACCATCCCTCTTTCACTCTGTTTCCAGCTGACACCCCTCAAGACTCCTACCACTGAAGGATTCCACTCTCTGTCTCCTCCGGTATGAAAGCCTGGAGCTGCTGTGGTGGAGACAGGTCATACCTCAAACTGCCCCCCCCTCGTGTTTCAGTCCAGGACAGCCCTCCTGAGTGGCTGGGCCTACCTGTGATGTTTCACTGCCCCTCAGGTGCTTGTGCTGACTGGGGTTGCACATTGACAAAGTGTATACCCTCCAGTTATTTCCTTGGGAGGCTCTCAGAGTGAGTCCTCTTGGATCCCGTTCTGCTTTCTTGGCACCCATCAAAGCTTGCTGCCCCAGGTGGTCACCTCTTGAGTTTTCTCACGCGGTTTGGCACCCATCAAAGCTTGCTGCCCCAGGTCACCTCTTGAGTTTTCTCATGCGGTAATCCTGGCCCAGATGTAGGAGACTAACATTTCCTATGGAGCAGGAGGAGGAGGAAAGTTCCAAGGGGCCACGGGCGGGGTGCTAAATGACATTTCCAGAAACATCCAAAATCTCATGTTTTGTTTTTTCTTTTCTGCTGGATAAAAATCTACTCAGGAACAAACCACAACAAGCTCATGCTACTATGATTAGATTATTGTGAAGACGAGATAATGTTTAAAAAGTTAATATATATGAAGAGGCAAGGGTGCCTGGAAGGGCACTCCTTTTTTGTGCGCGCGGGACCAGGGGTTGCGCCCTGCGCTCGGCTCCCTTTGGTCCTTAGTGTTGGTGGAGATGTTGGTGTGTTGCACAGCTCTGCTCTGGAGCCAGCTAGTGAGTTAGTTTTAAAAGTTTGGGGGGGTTATTTCTTTGTTTCCCTGTATTAAGAAAAAAAAATCCTGTAATTTTGTAATTCTTTTCTATTTATTGAATCCTTTATTGTATTCTTTTGTAAAGGTTTAACATAAACCGCAACATTTGTTTTTTTGGCTTCTCTTTTTGGACATGCTGTGTGGGCTTTCTTTTTCTGCTTGTTTGTTTTCTTACAAGGAAAGAATTTTACTTATTTGGAATAGTCTCTAGACCTAGCAAAGGGACAATGAAGCTATCTTTTCCAAAAACCATTTTAAACTTTGTTACATTCCAGGCTATACTATCTGCTTTCTTACGATGACAGGGCTGGCATTTAAAAAACAACAACACATTGTGGTTTCTTGTGTGAACCTGAGTGCTCACCTCCTTCTGCAATCAAAGGGACAAATGGAAAAATAGAATAATTCATTCTGAAGATTGTGATACAAATTTGACCTTATTCTGACCTACTGGACTAAGGGATACATCAGAATTTAATTGTTAATAACCTTTTACACTCCTAATATAGTCCTCTGTTCAAAAGAAATACCAAAATACTTCAACAATGTATGCTTTGAGGTAAAATATTAGAAGTACATGTTTTCAGGGGAAAAATAACTTTACAATATGTATTTGAGTACAAATTTCTATTCAGGTTTCTTTTAAAATAGCAGACTGGAACAGACTTGTAGCTACATAAGTGCATGCAGAATTGAAACAGACCAAAAAAAAAAGAGAGAGAGATTTGATACCACAGAGATATTTTCCAATTTAAATGGTGTTATTGAGGACTGATCCCTTAACATAGAAATGTGAAGAAATTTCTCCCAGCCAATGCTTTGTTTGTACTCTACGATCCATCTAAAGACATTTTGGTACCTGTGATCCCAATGACACATAGGGTCCATCGACATCTCTAACGTGAAGCCTAGTTTACAGGGACATTCTTCAACACTAGGCAGTAAGCACTGCAATTTCTTACAATGCCTCCTCTGATTCAGCATGGCTCCAGGCACTGAGGAAAATCAAAATGACAGCGACTTGGTGCTGATCAAAGAGCTGCTGACTGCCATGAGATGAGCCCATCTGGAATATGCCAGCATAGAAAGGGATGCACCAGAAAACTCCCTTGAATCTGGAACCAGCTCCACATGTTTAATCCAGTTTACTAGGGCCGTCAGGCCTTGTCTGATGCGAACAGCCTCTGCAGGGGCCAGACATGATCCAAGGCATTTTGTGCTTGGTGGCAGGCAACAGGAAGGCACCTCCAGTTCTAGCTGCAGAAGCCCAGTGGACTAGTTGTTAGATTTTACTTTTAGCCCTGATGGTGGGCCAGCATTCTCCCAAGTCACCTTACGGCAACGGGTAGAGGAGGGCCTGTAAGCCAGGCTGCTTGGAACACACACACACCTTTTTAACAGAGAGGACCAGCCATTCACATCATCAGCCAGCATCTACCTAAAATGACTGCCTTTTTTCCACCATCCCTGTGAGGCACTTAATATCTTTTAAAGGCTCAGACCAATTAATAATATACAACCAAAACATAAATTTAAATGCCATTGAAATCGGCCTATGTCTGAGGCAGTGTGGGGTGAAGTCCCTCTCGTGTGCTGAAAACTCTACAGTTATAATAGTACCCTTACGGGAAACCCCAGCAATGTTCGTCTGAGGTATTATTTCTAGGTTACACAGTCCTGAACCACAGCTGTGAAGCAATAAGTGGATAGATTTGTGGTTTGGAAGCTGTCTCGAGAATGTTGAGAGGTTGTTGCCCGAAAACACTCCGGCATGTCATTTCTGGTAGAAAGTTAAGGCTTGGCATTCAGTACCGATTAGGTCGGTTGTGCCAGCCCAGCCGGGCCCTAACCCTGAGAGCTGCTGCATGAGCAGAGGCAGAAAGCAGGTTTGGTTGAGAATGAATGCCCGCTACTGCTTTGTGAGTCTTTAAATTCATGGTTTGAAGTTGACCTCACCATCTGAACATTTTGGGGGGTGGGGGTGGCAGGACCCTGGCAGGATGTGCTTCCTCTTTGGTACTACATATCCTCTATGAGATGCTTGCTGCTATGCCCTCCACATCACCAGCCATACCAAGGTAAAACTTATTGCACATTAGTCCTCAAACAGAAAAAATAGCTGTATTGGCCCTAAGCTGAGGGAAGGAATCACGATCCGTATTATGGCAACAGTACCAAACAATTACGAGACGCAAAACATTTTTTAAAAATTAAAAACACAAACAGCGAGATAGCCTTATGCCCTGCACCCTGACAGTTTGTCTTCCGCAGTTGAGACCTGGGGCAGGCGGAAATACCTAACGAGCCCAGCCAGAGGAGTGATGAATCGGAAGCGGTGCGGTCCACGGAAGGGCAAGTAGAATTCTGCTCTAAATCCAAAGCGTCAAAAGGCAGTCTGGGTCAAGCCAGAGCAGGTGTGTCAAAAACAAGCAAGGAGAAGACAGTGAATCCCAGTCCGGCAATCCAGGGGTGGGAAGGAGTCAGCAGCAGAGGCCAGGCGCAAGGCAGGCTGGTTCTCTCCAGTAGCCAACAGCCAAGCTATTTGGACCCCAGCTGGTGCTCAACAGCAAGCCCTTGGCCTGCTGAGGAAGAACTTCAGCTGTAGAGTTGGTTCTCCTCAAGGTAGAATTTCCTACTCCTGAGGACTCTTTCCCTGAAACCTGGTACTTGTTTTATCTATCTATCTATCTATCTATCTATCTATCTATCTATCTATCTATCTATCTATCTATCTATCTATCTATCTATCTATCTATCTATCTATCTATCTATCTATCTATCTATCTATCATATTTTTTAGCCGCACCATTACCAGTGGCTTCTGGGCGGCATACAACATTAAAACTTAAAAATATTAAAAACATTTTAAAAGACAATATAAAATATCATATATTAAAATAATTCTTAAAACATTAAAATTAATAAGTCCTGCTGCTCATGTGGCCAGCTCAGGAATACTGTTTAATAAAAATGCTGGCTAAACAGAAAGGTCTTCACCTCATAGCTTCCCTTCTGGCTTGTCTCTTCAGCCTGTGCCACTCTTGTGCCTCGGTGGGTGGGTGGGTGTCTGTCCTCCTCCTGCGACTCAGTCCCTCAGTGGCAACCTCAGCTTTCTGCCTTCTCCAAGGGTCTGGGATCTGCAGGAGTCCCCAAGGTCCTCCTAACTAAGAGCTCTAGCATCTCTGGCTTGGGGACGAAGGGACTGACACCTCTGAGGGGGCACGACACTCGTGTCAACAAAACAGGAGATTAAATGTAGGTAGTCTGTAAAGCTACTGCTGACTTAATTAAGGCTGTTGTCTTACTCTGCATATTTATGCAGTGACTTAACGGGGGTGCTGACTTAATTAAGGCTGTTGTCTTACTTATGCAGTGACTTAACGGGAAGGGGATTTTCCAATAAAAACAAAACAACCATATAAACAGAAGTATTGTCACGCCTTGAAGACTAACAGGTTTATTTCAGTGCAGCACAGTACTTTTGTTTTTATTATTGATTTAGTTTTTGTTATACATGCTGATGTAAACTGCATAGCTTCCTTTTTGAAAAGTGGGCTATCCACCTCAGCCAAGGCAATGGACAGATATGGACGGGGTGGTGGTGGTGGTGAAGGAGAGATGTCAGACAGACTTTTTTCTGCACAGAGAGACTGTAAAATGACACCTCGACACCACTGAGTTGCCTGAAATGGCAATCGTTGCCTTGCCAGCAGTTTTCGTTCATCACACCCGGGATCCCTTTCTGGAGTGTTTGCTGCTTTCCCTACCCCATTGTAGGTTCAGCACTGAGCTCAGCACTGCATAGGTCCATTACCCAGCAGATGTGGCTGCAAAACTGAGGATTGCATTACAACTGTACAATATACAGTAATGACAAAACGTTGGCAGAGGTTTTGTGTGAAAAAGGTAATGGCCAGAATCCTGTTACTTAGCTCTGCTGATGTCGGTCCATGGGTGTAAATATCAGCAACAAATTCCCGCTTCTTAAGAGCTCAAGTGTAGGCATTTGGCATTAGATCAGTTGGGTGATTTTGTGGGTGGGCAGGCAGGCTGGCTTGAAAAGGGTCTATATTCTGACCATCAGGGCCTCTCTTGAATCAATGTGATTCAACTTCACTTTGGTCCTTGGCTACTTAATGCTGGTGGCACAATTAAAAAGTTTTGAAACAACTTCATGGATACTATTAAAGTAATCTCTCTAGCCCATTCAAGCCATCATTTGCATTATTCTCCTCACAGCATTCTTGTTTTAAACAGTTTTTCAGAAAGTTCAAAAACTAGAAGAGAAACACTGCATACTTCATGACTGGTGGCAGGGACAGGAGGAGCTGCCGATAGACTTGTGGAAACTCTCATAGATACTCCAATACTGTATTCTTAAGTACAGACTGAGCAAATCAAGGGAACTGAGATAAGCCAGAGATGGCCAATTAAGTGACATCATGGCAGCTCCCCCNACACAGACCTCAATCAGCAGGAGAAGCATAGACTAGGGAGGGATCGAAGAGAACATCTACTATGGGGTGGCCAAGTCCTGTCCTCCAAATTTGGTTGGATCGTAACTCCCATCAGCTCTAGCGGACACAGCCAATGATGAAACATGATGGGAACTGCTGTTTGAAAACATTTTGCAGTTCACCAATTCATAGGGTCACCCTACCTAAGTTAAAGGTGACTTAATGGCACATAACAAGGATCTTTGCCCCCCCAACACACACACTCTGCATGCTCTGCACTGGAGGATGCAGCGACTAAACATGGCTCCCCCTCCTGTTTTGCCCTCTTGCTTCTTGTCCCGTCCTCTGGAGCATCAGGGAAGTCTGCTCCATCTCCTGCACAACCTATCTCCAGATACTACGTAGAAGACAACGATCATGTCACATGCTGATACTGACAGCAGTGTCCAACAGGCAAACATGGCAAACACGTCACCTGCAAACAACACAGCAGCACATGACACAGAACAAAGGCAATGTTCATGTTTTCAGAAGCAAGTTCTACCAGGGATGGTTCAATATGTTAAACAACATCTTCATTAAATATAGAGTTTAAAAACTCTCGCTCACTTGCTCTCTCTCTCTCTCTCTGTGTAGTATTATAACTGCTGGCCAA